TACATGTGTGGAATCGATTAGATATTGGAATAAAAATCAATATGGGATAATGTACATTCAGAAATAATAATATGAGTGTTATTCATCCATTACAATTAGATGGGAAAAAGGACAAGTGTTTCTATAGTCATAATAAGTTAATTGTTAGAATGTTTTGTTGTGTTTGAATCGAAATAGAATTTTATGATTATTTATTATCCTCCGCTGATTTGACTGGTGGCAATGATACGACTGTTATTGATCAATTAAAATTAGATGATTTGATTGGTATTAGTATTTTCCATATTTCCAGTATGAGTGATGAGTCATTCAACACGTGCAATAAGAATGACAAAGTTCCGGGGAATAAACATGTCTGCTGAAGCAATTTCTTGCAGCGGTTCTGTTTGGTGGATATTTGTAAATAATTCTGCATACGATATTATAATTGTATTATAGGCTTACCTGGAAACTACTGCCTCCTCCCCTCCAGATTGCATCCTATAGGCGTTGATTAAAATAGTGACTAATGTCGTCACCACAGATAATTTGTAAATTACCCCACGTAGCCTCAAAACCTTCGGCTAGCTGACGTCAGGTGATAGTTTGTTTTCAATTTATTAATCGGTTAACCGCTGAGTATGACTTGACGAAGAATCCGTCAAAAACTCATGTTAGCTGAAAACAAGAAAGGTTTAGTGTCACAACAAATGTATTCCTGGCATTTATACAACAAACAAGACTAACGTGATCATTGAAGCATACATATTACTGTAATATTTTCAGGCAACAGTAAAGAATAGACACGAAAGTCAAATGACCTACGATCTACCGGCTATATTCTTCTAGGTGAAAAATGGCATTTATAAGACATGCATGTATGCAATAAAACTGAATTATACAGGGTACAAAACTCTAATATGCTGTAAAAACTGATCCCTCTTTCTCATAAAAGTGTCTGTAGACATATCAACCCAATGTCGACACAAAAACTCATCTAATTGGCTGTATATCCTATCATATTGGGAAACATTTACTATTATAATACTTTTTTCTGTGGATGAACCCAGAATCTTTCAATAGAATATTTGTATGAGTTCCACTTATAGGAGATCTACTAATTCACAAGTATGATTGACTTTATGATGAATATCGTCTAATGATGATAGTTGTGTGAATAACCTTCCCACTGAAGTTTGTGAATTGTAGTGCCTAGGAGGAGGAGTGGTTGTATTATTGGTATGAAAACATCTGGGTGAAACTTTCAACGAAGATTATGAACAACATCTATGTACAATGCCGAGCTTTCTCATTAGTTGATTTAGGCCATTTGACTTTGGTGTCTATTCTTTACTGTTGCCATATTTCAAAGTATACAGATCGAAGTAAACAATGGGTACCTACGAAAAATGGGAAAACAAAGAGGTTTGGTAATAACGCCGTGGACTCATCGCAGTGGAATTAGAAACCGTGAATTCAACCGCTTTTATTCACGAGTAAATTTCATTTCAAAGTCCTATATAAGGACATATTATTTAATTTTATTTAATACTAGTGACTAATCCAGACTTGTAGTGCAATTTAGTAAAGTCAGCTTTCATTGGTTAAAGATGAAGGGATGAAGGGTTAATCCCATTGGCTAATTTCCAACCAGTGAAGTTACACGGGAGTGCCACAAAATTACTGACGACAGCCTCCGAATTCAATGCTTGCAGGGAGGATATCAGAGTACGAATATAAAAATGTTTATAAACAGACATTTAAGTTCTCCTTGTGTTCACATACTTACTTTCTGCTTCTAGCTTGCTGCTTGCCTCTCCTCTTCTATCTGCCTTCTAGTGGAAGTTGCACAGACCAACAGAAAGAATGAAGTTACACGGGACTTGGTGCCACCCAGGCGCACGAATGTGTGGAATAAAAAGGCGATTTCTCTAGGAAAATGAGGAAGAAAAAAGGCAATTCTTTTTCAGAGCGGAAAAAAGATCGATTAATAGGGAAACTGATAGGAACCATGAAAATTTTGACTGTACGTGGGAAGTTACTGATAAATTGTAGGCAGTTCAAGTATAGTGTCAAAATTACGTCTCCTGCGCTTCATTTGAGGCATTGTTCTTACACTGACAGTTTCCTGTTGAATCTTTTCACAAAATCCAACAAGCAGAACACAGAACGAAGTACAAACACTTAAAAGTAGGAATGTAAGTAAAAGTAACCCGACAACTTCTATATTTTCCGCCATACAATAATCACGACAGACACACACGCATTCATATACACACATAATGAATAGCGTCCAATATCATTAGTTGACTACGGCTGATTTCTAAAGATAAAATTTGTTTTCACGAGTTGATCACGCATACACATCAGGTAGACAGACATTGAAAACCACCCAGGACTACTGAACAGACAGCTGTTTCATCCTAGTTCGAGAATCATAGCCAGTACGAATCCACCGAAATGATTCGAATCAAGGACATTCCCGTCACAAAGCTAACTCGTATGCCATTCAGGCACTGGGAACCGATTCAGTCACATTGAGAAATTAACCTGCAACTTGTTACTGACACCTTGGCTATGATAATAAAAAGGGTCAATGCACTTGATAATAATGTCGCAAATGCCACTAAAAATTGTCTCAGATTTCATACAGAAAACTGTGTCACTCATTGTTTCACAAACAAACGTTAAATGTGTGTTAATGCTCACTTACCAATCACTGGAGTCTATGAAAACATAGGTGGGCAATGTTAATCGCAGCGGAACAAAATACTTTGTTTAGTTGAATTCTATTCACCTATTGTACGCGCACTTCTAAAATTTGAATACACTGCCGGTTAGGCCAGGCTGTATACGGCCGTGGCTCATTCGATCAACTGATGTCAACTGGCTTTATTTATTGAAAAAACTCCAAAATTAGGTGATTTTTCGTTGTTTTACACACATTCACACGTGTATTCCCACTAAAAGTTGATGGCATAAGCCTTTTTTAGCACAAACAGCAAATGATAGTGTCCTTATCCGGCCGTAATTTACGGCCAGTTTACAAATTGTTGAAATACGTACTTTTCCGTTCAGAAAATATCGAATTACTTGAAGAGACATGATATACCGACTTTCAGTGAATTCTTTTGGCAGGAGGATTATACATGGACAAATGAGGTGGGATAGTTCGGTTTGTTAATTATTATTTCATTTACTTTGTTGTGTGTGTACTTTTGCTAATGCTGTCAAAGCTCCTCCTCCACATGTATTTCATTAAAGGAAATCTACAGAAATACTTGGAAATTATATACGCATAGTATTTACAAATTTTTTAATCGCATAGACTTGATGTATGTTTACTTACAGGCAGGCAGATGCAATATCCATTTTGTCTTCTTGAAAAATGTTCACTGACGTAATTATATACAATCCAACTGATTATTTGGTCATTTTAAACATGTTAAGTAGTAGTTAATTATTGCATTTACAGTGAGTGGTAACAATGTCTACATCTTTAGAATTCCTATGTTCTTGTTCGGATAATAATATCTACTTTCGGGAATTTCATGGATTTGGGCGATAAAGAAAAAGATATCTGCAGTGTTGTTGATTTTGTATTACATGTTTATTCATTATTGATAAATGTATTCCTCGTTATTCGTTTGTATATTCTACTTGATGGGACTGTAAACTAGCCTACGCGTAGGCTGTAATCATTGAAATGCCAAGTAAAATTTGATATTCGGAGAGGCTCATTGATAAAAAGACTATGTTGTACCGTATAATGAAGTTGGTTACTGCGTCCACTTGTAAAAGGAAACTTTGAGATTATAAGCGCTTAGAGTTATATATATGTCGCCTTAGTAGGAACCTATTAACTGACTTCGGATTGATTCATAGTCACACGGTGAAAAGTAAATCTACCTGAGATTTATTTACAGTTATCTTTAAAAATATGTACATAGATCAGTCCGAGCATGACGATGTAGATGCCTGATCATCCTCCTGTGCACCAGCTTCATGTACATAGTAGTATGCGTGAAGAAACACACTCCTACATATCCTAGGATGCGTCTGTTGAGGGTTTCCGATTTGATATATTATTCCTTGTATGAGCATCTCCACTTCCAAGTCCACCGATGGTGTCGATTGTGATTGGATGACAGTGTGATTGTAATCTCGTAACCACCTAGTACTATGTCTAAATACATCTTTTACAAATTAACTTGAAGCCTATATGAACTTACCTAGACGTGTACATATATATGACATTTGGTATGAACTAGATGACGGCGTGGCAATAGCATATTTCTGTTTTGAAAACATGTGCAGCTGCAGTCATGTTTGTCCACAACGAAGTATCTTTCACCTTCTTCGAATACCACGAATGCTTCTGTGCACAATCCGTGACTTTCATTTCGGGAAGCCTCTTGATGCTTTTGTGAAGCGGATAGGTGGTGTAGCTTGCTAGATGCCTTAGAGTGTTGGAAAGGCCTTCGTCCACCTTAAAAAAATTTCAGGCTACAAGTATAGGACCTCCGTCAAAATTAATGAAGTAATGCAGATTGCAATTTCCTTCACCAGCCTTTCTTCTCGATGACTCAATAGAACACTTCCAAATCTCACGAATGCTCAGTTCCAACGGGAAGCACTTGCTGAGATGTGTCTTCAGGTGCTTATGGCAGCACTCGACTCTGTTATTGGTTTTTTTGCCAAGAGTGACAACTTCTCTCATATAACAGGCTGCCCACATATTACGGCAAATCCATAAGTTGTTATTTATGTACGACATAGCTGCAGGATACTGCAACATCATCAAGTCACTAAACCTAATGAACTGTAGTGTTAACACAATAACGTAATTACCTGTCATTATTGGTAGTGTATACCATCTCTTTAAATATCCTTTTACATTGAGGATCACGGAACTTAAGGACGTTAGGTCGTTAGTAACGTCGCTTACTTTGTTATTGAAGGCCCGGATAACATGAAATGTACATAATATAATAGAGCAGGCAGGGAACTCATTACGAATGGCACGTTGCTCTGCAGCACTGTTGTCAATTATAAACGTGACCGTCTGTCATGTATCACCCATGATATTCTTAAAGGACTGTAACACTGCTTCAACGTCAACAAGTCTTTCGCGATGAGTTATACTGTACATGACTGGACAACTTCTGTTCAGACCATCTGTAACGACCAGTTGATACAGAGGATTACTGCGAGTGATTGGTTTTACATTGAAATATTACTCTTCCTTATCCCCGTATTGTAGGTTGAATCCATGCCGACAATCTCTGGAAATTTCTTATAAGAGCTTATCATTTTCCCTGGTTGTGAAACTAAACTTCTCCACAGGTCGTCGACTGTCCATCACACACCATGCCGAACCTGTGTCACGAATTTCACGAATTAGTGTGTCAATATCTCGCAGTCCTATACAGACTGTTAACGCAATATGATAGATAGATGGTTGTGTCTCCCCTGCACAAGTTATAAATATGGTTGATGGTTG